CCCGCCGAAACTCTGTGAAGTCAGCTGCACACACAACCGAAGCGGAACCTGACGAGTGCTAAGAACGTTACCTGACTCAACCAGCCAACAGCAGAGATCCAAAATCACCCCTAGAAGGTCCAAATGAAGGCTAGCGCAGCACGAAGGGGCACAACACTCTCACTAAGTTCTGACGCAAACCTGAACTCCACAGCCTTAAATATCAACTTCACGGGATACGACCAACGGAACGATGTATCCACGGAATGCACTTTGTAGAACGAGGGTAGGAACTAAGCGCTGATTTACAGTGACACTTTGGACCCATCTGGAAGCCGAGGAAGTGTGTGATACGAGTCGCCTGCTAACAGTTGGCTCACCAGCAGAGTTTTTCTTACTGAGCTGTACCACGCAGGCAATATGATTATTGGCAGATGTCGCAAAAACAGGACCCTAGCTTTTATGAAAGAGAGGCACCAGCGTCATACCACCTGTGATACAACATCACAAAAGTGGGGTGTGAGAATGAACTTTAAATGACAATACCGTACTAATTTACCGGAAATGCACCCCTACTTGAATACTACACCAGCCATACCTGGTGTGACCTGCAACAGGCCGAGGTCACTGGTAACAAAAAAACGCGAACTCACCGCCGACATAGACTGCTAAAGCGCATTAGTATTTTGTCCGTCGCATCCCAACCGGCCGCAGCGCTAGCCAAACGACCGATGGTGATCTCGAACCCTTTCGTTCTGAACCACCGGTTGCAGTCGCCCCACAGCAGAAAAGATACGGCCACCCGGGCGCAGTTTACGGGCACCAACTACCAAAGTGACATCTGAAATACGAATGCATAGCTTGTTAAATGAACCGCCCTTTTGGTAGCACCATCCCTACACATTAACTGCCATCTGTGAGACAAATGCAGGCACAGAGGACTCTGTTTGCACGGCGCAAAACTTCTGTGTCCGGATAAAATGCGCTCACTGAGTGACTGGGACAGAGATTCCCTTTCTTCTCTGAAAAAACGGGCGTTATATCAAACCGCTATACCGTCTGTTTGCCAGTAAGGTATTCTAGTAACTCCATGGTTTTTTGGGGTTGGGGTGCAGACATATTGCGTAGCGTGATCCCTCCAATCTACGCTCCGTCAGGCATTGCCTGGTAATTCTTGGGGTTTGTCCCCCAATTCAAAGGCTTCACGCACTACTGCCCTTACCCATTGCTTCATCTTGACTTAATGGTTAGGCTTGCACGTCACGATGACTCAACGAGTGAGACCGGTGAACACTTATTCCCCCAGGGTCCTGCCATACTAGAAACGTCGAGCGAATGGTGGTGGTGAAAGGCAGTTGCCATCGTGATGAAAGCTGTGCCCTGTGATGGGGGTGAGAAGACAAAGTCATGCGGCTGGCCGAGGGAGGTTACGACAGCAATGGGGGGCTTCTTGTGGATGACCTACAGTGCGATGACGATGTTGCCTTTTCGACAGGATGGGGGATCAGAGAAGGTTGGCCTTGAAAGTAGCACGACACCCATCACCTCGTGGCACGCAGGTGCCAGCGATGCAGGTTCACGGTGGGATTTTTAAAAACAAAGGAAAATGTCTGACTTTGAAGGTCTCACGCGGACTCCTTTCAGTCTCCGTTTTTTACATTGGCCCTCCTCAAACAGGTACCTCAAGAAGAATCTATCTTCAACAGTGTGAGCGGCCGGGAAGTGTCGTAGTCCCAAACAACCCCACCAGCACTCGATCTCCTTGAAATCGCCACCCACCTTCTGCATCTTTTGCTTCAGGGCTTGTTTTGTGTTTCTTCGCCAACTTTCCTACGTGAGCCAAGACTTCTTCCGGCTTTTCGGTCCTTGAAAACGACCCGACTTCATGGAAACACGTCACTGGACTTCTGAAACAGGGTTCCACACTAGATACTGAGGCTTGCAATACCCATTCTCTCCGTCAACTGGGCCAGCAAGCTTCGTTGTGCAAGGCTATAGCGTCTCGAGACACGGACATGGGCCGTGTTTTTGAGACACAAACGCAGGATTCAAGTGCAGCTTTTCATTTGACCTCACCTAGCCAACATGGGGAGTCCACAAAATTCACCTGACGGGTTTCATAAAGTTTGATGGCTAGTTCTTACGGCGTTGCGAGTGTAAGTGTGACATTATGCGCTGAGGTAGATGTAACACTCGACCAGATCATCCATGACACTCGCCCATGTAACCTCCTAGTAAACGGCAAAGTGAGTACTGAAAATAATGGCGCACCTCGCAGAGTCTCCTCGTGGTTTCCGTTCTGGTACCGAGAGAAAGAGTAGGATCAGTTGGGCAGAAAGATACGTATCTGACATCTTTGGAATCGCGGCCAAACCATCAGTTAATGGAGATGGACCGCCCCATCTGTACTCAGAAACTCATCTTTTTAAAAAAAGAGACGTCATACAGGGTGGTGCTCGCCAAACTCAGCTCAGTGGAGGAGGCAAGTAGAATATGCATCTATCAGCTATCGCTAAATAGGACAGGTGGGTGGACGGTGCTACTTCCGGAGCAATTGTTTATACAGCAAACAAATGTTGGTTCGAGCACGTGTGTGCACGCAACCCATTCGACGTAGTAAAACTGTAACAAGGAGGCCATTGCAAGCGTGTCTTGATGATTAGAACACTGAGGCTGCTTTCGGTGAGAGGCTGGCTAGACAGATATTGGAACAGAACTACGTTGCTTATCCGAAACAAGTATAAAGCCATCTCCAGTCTGCCGCAAAAGCGATATTAAAACCGCAGCTTGCCCCTTGAAATTGATTAGACGGTCAGTAGACCATGGCAGCTGACTCTGAACTGATAGATGCAGGCGGGTGGATCCCGCAATGATGGGAGGGTTCAACTCAAATGTAGACTGGCGAAAAGTCTATCCAGTGACTGCTGACACCAACGGTTAACGACTCTACACAAATGAGAGAGACAAGGGCAATATGTAAAAACTCACAGCGTTCAACAGTGGTTACACTTCTCAACCTGAAGGCAGCATGCCACACCGCTGAACTAGGGGTCTGGTGGCAGGCTTCCAACCAGAAGGGTGTTGAAGGCTTTCTTGTCCAATGGCTGCCGTTAGGTAAGAGCCAGTGGTGAACAATCACGAGAATTATGCAAATCAAGTGGTGTCTGTCAGGTATGTTCAAACTAGCAATCCTAGTTGAATTAACACCTTCAATTACGACTGCGACTAAGTGGTAACAGAAAACTCGCGCACTGGGGCCTCTACATGCCTAACTGTAGGGTGAGGATATCAAGCATGCATCCAGGGAGGAGGTAGGTAAACACTTATCTGAACGTGAAACCACTGCTGATCCTGAGAAAATCAGGCGTGATATTAAGTCCATCGTGGAAACAGCGGTGAACACAACTGGTAACCCACCCAAAAGTTGGCAAACGTCATTGGATTTTCGCATCGTCATCCTATTGATTGATGCGAGAAGGCTGACTCCAGCTTGTTTTGACCAGAATGAGAGGCAGGAACAACTTAGGCGTGAGTTAACTCAAAGCATCCGAGTTGATCACGAAGAGTGATTACTGATGAAGGTGAGAGGAATGGTGAAGGCACCAGCGGTTAGGTAATACTCAGCAACCATGTAGACTTATTCAGAGATACCGGTAGGAGGAAAACAATGGTCAGTGAAACCATCACCAAAAAGGATGGCAAGCTGATAAATTCCCAGGACAGGTAGCCAGAAAGCTGTGGGGAACGCTTTGAAGCACAGTTTAACTGGTCTACAGCAACGCTTCCGTTGCCCAACATTCAGCCTGAACCTGAATGGGACCCGGATGTCAGTCATCTAACTCTTTGAAATTGAGAAGGCTGTTTCGAAATATAAAGGATTCAAAGCAGCAGAACCCGACAGTTTGCCACTCAAAGATTTTGAAGGATGATGTAGAAAGTCACCAAGTAGAGTGGTGGAGGTACTAGGTGGTGTATGTGAATCAGAGATGGTGTCGTCAGACTGGTGTTCTTCACTGATCACTCCAGCCTATAAGAAGGGGGGAGGAAATCTTCTTGTGGAAACCGTAGGAGATTTAGTTTGATTGATATTGTGCCCAAGATCTTAGGGTCCATAGTTATTCGACACCTAACTGGACCGGGTAAACAGCAAAGTCGAGTACAACAGGCATGTTTCAGACCTCGACGAGGATGCGTCGATCAGACTTTCATCCTCTAACAGGTTCTGCAAAACACAGGCATGCCTGCTGGCGGTTGACAGTTGCCACATTACCTAGCATAAATGTCGCGTTTTACCTTATCAGCGTAGTGTGTTCTGGTGGTTGCTGTCTGTTGCCTCTTGAAATTCGAGGCTGTGGAATGAAGAAATAAAATCAATGCTAATTCCTTAGCAGTCAGTACCATCGTTGTGTTGACTAAGATGCTTAGCAATTTCAATAAGATGCTAGATATCCACATAAAACATATTTTGACAAACGGTAGCGATTCACCAACCTTCCTATCATTTTCATCATCGAAACAGAAAAAATATACTACCGAAGTTCTTCATACCTTTGCACCCCTACTCACCTTACTTGGGTGTAAGTAGATTACTCCATTAGTTCACTTTTCCTCTGCTCTTTTACTCATACAAACACTTTCTAGGTCTTCTCTTCCTGAACCCACTCCAGCGACCTGTCCGAAAAACTGTATTGCAACTCGACATCTGAAGAAGCCAACTGCACCACAGACCAAGACAAACAAACCAACACTTAACTGCCTGTTCTGTAAATCACAGCTATAGCAGACGAGTGGCTGGATCTACTGCATCGGAATCCGCAAAGATCTGAAACCGTTCCGCAAGACCAAGAAAGGAGAAAGAAGTCGAGCTCGTCAAAAAGATATTGGATATAATTGTTTCTGCTTTCAAAAGTTTGAAAGTCAAGAGAACACCCTCTTTTTATTTTAGTAGTGTTCCCACGTGCTACAGAAGAAGAACATTATTCCCACTAAAGGAAGTTTGGTAGTTACTATGGTCACCAAATCATTATGAGCGGCTCAGTTGAAATAAAATTTTGCATACACCTTTTTACTAGGCTACTGAAGTCCGTCGGATTCTCTGATATATCTGCTGAATATGTTCGACTGGCCAAGTTTAATGATCCACGTGCAGTCCATTCTTTGCTCCGGTTAACATTTGAACTTGTATACTTTAGTAAATATGGGTGTGTTGACAGACTATGCGCCGAAGGTTTTGAGAAATTTTCTGACATTGAAATTTGCCATTTTATAGGTAACTTCTTACTGACTCTTGATTTTCCTTAACCTGTTTGGATATTGTCAGCTTCTAACTTCAAGGAGGCTGCTATTGGCTTCGATATGGATCCTAATATCATGTAGTATTGTGTCACAGATCGAAAGAGCATTGATTTCTAGTGTTGGTGTATTTTCAGAAGAACAAAAATATAATTCACCTGTACCGGGTGTTGATAAAGCGGTTGGAAATAGCATGTCGATATCTCGTCTCATTTGGTTGGCTGGGCGCCTAAGAATACAAATGAAGCACTTATTTCACGTGAAAGATGAAGTCATGAACAGCTTTCTCACATTAGCAGAAAAACCATCGGTCATTTCTCCAGCAGATGGCTGGGTTTCGCGTGATTCGAGTACTCTACATGCGTACATTAAAAGTGTTCAAGAGTGTATATCAAAAGTACGCATCATTCTTTCCTGGAAAGAAGTCAGTCATACATTTTGGGATTGGATCCACAGTGTTATGGTTATTGATGAGAAAAGTATTGGTAATGAGCTTGCCAGTGACAGTTTATCCGCCTCTCTTTGTAAATTTACTGAGCTAGTTACCAAACTTCATGATTCTATTGACCACTTTGTTACAAAATATCCAGTCTTCGATGATATGAAATCAAGCTTACTTGACAATTCAGCAAATGGGAGTGATGTTCCTATTGAGGATGCTTTTCTGGGCATACACAAAGACATACGTTATTTAACAGACCATTTGGCTTGTGCGAATTTCATTGCTGAAACTCCCATTCAGCTTCATCAATTTAGGTACAATTTTGTGCATGAAGAACAAGAGGATTCGAAAACGAAAGATAAATATGTATGCAATTTTGATTTAAAGGATGAATGCAGGAAACTGAAGTCAGTAATTGAAAACCTCAAAGAACAGAGTGAAGTCATCAGACATGCTTTATCTCAAAAACTGCAAAACGTAGGTGCTGATTTCCTTCCCGAAGCAATTTTCCTGTATAATGATGTGTAAATCTTATTCAAAAAGTTATTACTGACTCTTACTTTGTAACTGATATTCAGATTTGTTTGCTATAATTGGAAATATACCAAGTTACTTATTTGGATTCATTTTTCAATCTTTCCAAATATGCGTAATCACAACACTGATTTTACGAGCTCATCTACATTTGTATTATGTGTGCTTCTACGTGTGTATATTTTGTCACATTAACCTAGGGAATGCCTATACTACGCTTCTAGCTGGTGTTTGCTATTACAAACGTGTTTTGATAACGTAGTGTGCATATGTACCTCAACATGCAACAGTTTTCTTCATAATGGCATACTAGTTAATTTAACATAGGGAATAGAAGCAATGAAGAACCGTAAGAGTACACTAATGCCAATCCTTCATAATTTATGTCTTTTATTCACTTGTTAATAGTCTTTGCAGTAACTTAATGTTTACTCTAGCTATGGATTCTTTTTATTCCAGATGTGTCATTTTCTTTCAACCTTTAGTATTATTCTCCGACCTGTATGATATTTGATCATTAAGCCCGTGCAGAAAAAATGAATAATCAGTCATAGATATTTCGAATAGGTATGGGACCTTTTATTTTGTATAATGCTTTCATCCTACGTGCGTACTTCATATCTTTGGAACGTACTTATTATTCGAAAACCCTTCTGAAAACGTACATGTGGTTTTATAACAAAGTGTTTACATTGAATAAAGTAGCTATTCACTAGTTTTAGTGCTAGTTTTACCAAACGACCTAAAAAAGCCCTTCCAGATGCTAACCCATTAACCTTTCCATTGTGTGTGAAGTTTTACCAGTTTGTGTATACGATTCATCAAATTCATCATCTAATTCAGTATGATATGTAGCATGATAATTTCACATGGCATGAAAAACGAACTTCAATGAAATAAAATTTGACACAATTATGCATACGTTCAGCTTGCTACACCTTATCCCAGTGTGGCGTGATAAGATAACATTGAAAACATTTGAAACATGAGTCCCAACTAAGTGATCAGGTAAGAGAAAAACAAAGAAGGATACAGCCAATCACTTATCTGAAAGTGACAGTAATACTCATCTTGATTAAACTTGGAGTCATATTAATTCTTCTGTAGAAACAGCAGTAAAGACAGTTGGTAACCTACATGACTGACAAAAACAACGTAAAACCTCGTAAACAAATGCATCGGTTCAAGTAGCCACACTTCACAGTAGTACACAAACTACAGGTGGATAGAAAAAACTGATATCAAAGAAGATAAAGTTGCATAAGAGAATGAACAATTTGAAGATAGCGGTTAGTGGAAATATTCACGCTTTGTAAGATGTTGAGGAGTGAGTACATCTGTGTCATTACGACTGATTTTCAGTCATGTAACCAGGTGTCCTCAACCACTGATTTCTCTCATCTCCGGGACCCCAACTAGGCAGTCTACATCTCACAACACAACGAAAGCAACAGTAAGAGACTTCATCGACTGATGCCACATCTTCATCTGATCACCCTGAATCCTCTTTTAACATAATCCAACTTTTTACATCAAGGCACATTGAGGTAGGCAGTCGTTTGGCATGCGCAGTACACGTCCAAGCCATCCCAGTCGACGAAGGTTCACAATCTCATTAATCGACTTGTCTGCCTTACCTAGTACCCCTCGCATGACCTCAACATCGCTCACACAGCGTTTCATCCGAAAGAGAACAAGACTAGGAGACACCTATGTTTAAAACTCTGCAACCTCTTCATAGTCTTGTTAGGTGAAGACGCTGACAAGATGCAGAGTCTTCTGAACACTTTGAATGGCAATTTGAGAATGTTTGGGATGCGTTTCTCACCACACTAATGCAAATTGTTGCTCTAGGATTGGTCTCCAACGGTGCCACAGCTAACAATAGAGAGTGTGTTGACCACTTCACTTACCTGGGAAGTAGGATCAGCCCTACCATGTTGGCTCAGTGGCCTATGAAATCTCTTTACGAATACAAAAGGCTCGGCTGGCTTTCACCAACTTACGCCACCTATGGCGCCGCCGTGATATTCGACTGCCTATTAAGGGTCGTGTGTACTGCACACCAGTCTGCATGTTCTACTGTATGGCTGTGAAACATGGCCATGAAGGTGGAGAGAAGACATGAGAAGGTGGCTTCAGGTGTTCGACCACCGTTGCCTTCGTAGTATAGGTCGCCGTATTCCGTGATGTCACCACGTGAGTAACGCAGACGTCAGGGTAAAGAGTTTTAGGGAGAAGAGGTAAATCAGTTGACGAGGTTATGAAACTTCATTGACTGAGATGGTTGGGACACATGTTTCGTATGCCTAGTCGCCGATCGCCTCGACACACAATATTGGCCGAAGTAGGTCAAGGCTAGAAAAAGGCCTGAGGTGGCCAGACTAAAACATGGCATCAATGTATGAGGTGTTTGACTGTTGGTTTGAGCCATATGGGACAATGCAGACTAGTCGGTTGGGGTCCGCGGGACAAGAGAAACCAGTGGTTAGAGACTCTAGGTGATATGGCTCAGAACCGATGTGAGTGGTGCAGATATATCCCACACACATTATCCTCATCATAACGACGCTATACCGAATCTCACCATTTTCTCATTCTTTCTTTGTCTCTTTTCGTACCTTATGTTTCTTTTGACTGAATTTTCTTCATCTTCATCTTGCACTTCACTGCCATTTTACTTGATGTACTATATGAGCTGTGGCAACTCGGACCGTTACGCAGTAATGCCTGGTCTTATGTTGATATTGATGATGGTGATAAACCTCTTCATCTCCTCCGTTCAACGACCATGTCTCACAGCCGTACAACAGAACAAAACGGAGTGCAGAACAGCATACTCGTCCTTTGTTAGGTGTTTGGATATCTCACCTGTCGGCGCTAGAGATGACGCAAATTGGCAAGTGCCACACAGGTTTTCTGAATCCGAGATGAGATTTCGTCATCATTCAGCCCGTTCGGGATAATGCAAGTCCTCAGGCTACAGAATGGTCGACACTGTCATTCACTTCGCCCACTATCAATGAACCAAGAGTGGTTGGACATCAGTCTTGAAGCAACGTCTCAAAATTAACACGTCGCAAAAAAACCCATGTCAAATGAACTCAAATTTCAGCTCAACGTGCCAGAATGCTACTCATTCTGTCGGCTCCTTCATGTAGCAGTAAAATATCATGTGCAAACTATAACTCGGTCAGATAACCATCAGGGAGTAGGTCGATCCGCATGAAGTCAGATGTACTTAGCGTTGAGTCCATTAGTACATCTGTGACGAAGTTAAATAGGAGCCGTGACTGTGGACATCTCTAAATAACACCACTGGTTGTCATCAATTCACATAACAACTCCCTATAGTCATCTACACGGCTGCATGAGTTCGAATAGAGAGCTTTGATTAGCGTTATATACTTTCTCAGTGTTCACTACACAGTCAGACAGTCAAAATGCTTTACGGTCGGCAGAGTTTACTGCCGCCTTCAGGTGAAGAAATATGGCAAGTGTCGGCCATCGGAAGGTATGCCCGTGTTTTGCAGAACCTGTTAGAGGATGAAAGTCTGATCGACGCATCCTCGTCGAGGTCTGAAACATGCCTGTTGTACTCGACTTTGCTGTTTACCCGGTCCAGTTAGGTGTCGAATAACTATGGACCCTAAGATCTTGGGCACAATATCAATCAAACTAAATCTCCTACGGTTTCCACAAGAAGATTTCCTCCCCCCTTCTTATAGGCTGGAGTGATCAGTGAAGAACACCAGTCTGACGACACCATCTCTGATTCACATACACCACCTAGTACCTCCACCACTCTACTTGGTGACTTTCTACATCATCCTTCAAAATCTTTGAGTGGCAAACTGTCGGGTTCTGCTGCTTTGAATCCTTTATATTTCGAAACAGCCTTCTCAATTTCAAAGAGTTAGATGACTGACATCCGGGTCCCATTCAGGTTCAGGCTGAATGTTGGGCAACGGAAGCGTTGCTGTAGACCAGTTAAACTGTGCTTCAAAGCGTTCCCCACAGCTTTCTAGCCATCACGCTTCCAGTAGTACAGAAGACCAAATCAAACGCTACCTATCCTCATAAACTCTGTCTCATTTCCCTTCACCTTTTGATACCAATATTAAGCCTCTCACGCCTTCGCCAATCTCTCACTCTGCAACCTCTCCCAACAAACAAAAACATCAAACCTTACTTCTAGTCTCCTGAGAACCCACCATGGATTTAATGTAGGAGCTTTCACATTGCAAAATCTGTGCCAAGTCGGATGACAAGCATCACTGAAAAAACTCATGAATCTCTACCCATGGATGTATGCTATGTCTCTCAGACACATATACAGGACCTGAGTGTGGTTAGTAAATTCACTTCACGAGTATTAGGTAATCCAACGTCTAGCTATTGTGGACTCGCTGATGTAGGCATCGCATTGAGTTGTAGAGCAGAAAGTACATATCTCTGCTGGATACCAGTAAAAAACCGTCCGTGGGCAATTCTGATGGATGCATCCGTAAGCACCAGAAAGGATCTAGAGATCAGCCGAGGCTTATTCGTAATCCCTAATAACCCACCCACCAACTGTAGTTCGGATGATGCCAAGAAGGAAAAGCAAATGAAAATGTTTCGATGTAGTCAGAATGGTAGGTGATTTTAACGTCCAAGCAAGGCAGCTGAGCCAATCGGAAAGGCATCTCGGAGGTATTTACGGAATCCCATACCAACGAACCGACAACGGAGATCGTCAGTTGCGATTTCGCTCCGAAAATCACTTGCTTCTGGCCAATACTAACTTTAGGCATATAGAAAGACACCATTCCACATGCCGTTTGCCGACTTCAAACAAACGATGGACCCAAACACATCACATCTCTAAAAGCAATCGTTGGAGATAAGTGAGGGATTGTTGCTCCTTCTTCAGTGCCAGTATGGACGATAATCAAGCGTTAGCACGACATCGCCTTTGCCAGTGCTTTACTGGTCACAGAAACTCGCGCACTGGGGCCTCTACATGCCTAACTGTAGGGTGAGGATATCAAGCATGCATCCAGGGAGGAGGTAGGTAAACACTTATCTGAACGTGAAACCACTGCTTATCCTGAGAAAATCAGGCGTGATATTAAGTCCATCGTGGAAACAGCGGTGAACACAACTGGTAACCCACCCAAAAGTTGGCAAACGTCATTGGATTTTCGCATCGTCATCCTATTGATTGATGCGAGAAGGCTGACTCCAGCTTGTTTTGACCAGAATGAGAGGCAGGAACAACTTAGGCGTGAGTTAACTCAAAGCATCCGAGTTGATCACGAAGAGTGATTACTGATGAAGGTGAGAGGAATGGTGAAGGCACCACGGTTAGGTAATACTCAGCAACCATGTAGACTTATTCAGAGATACCGGTAGGAGGAAAACAATGGTCAGTGAAACCATCACCAAAAAGGATGGCAAGCTGATAAATTCCCAGGACAGGTAGCCAGAAAGCTGTGGGGAACGCTTTGAAGCACAGTTTAACTGGTCTACAGCAACGCTTCCGTTGCCCAACATTCAGCCTGAACCTGAATGGGACCCGGATGTCAGTCATCTAACTCTTTGAAATTGAGAAGGCTGTTTCGAAATATAAAGGATTCAAAGCAGCAGAACCCGACAGTTTGCCACTCAAAGATTTTGAAGGATGATGTAGAAAGTCACCAAGTAGAGTGGTGGAGGTACTAGGTGGTGTATGTGAATCAGAGATGGTGTCGTCAGACTGGTGTTCTTCACTGATCACTCCAGCCTATAAGAAGGGGGGAGGAAATCTTCTTGTGGAAACCGTAGGAGATTTAGTTTGATTGATATTGTGCCCAAGATCTTAGGGTCCATAGTTATTCGACACCTAACTGGACCGGGTAAACAGCAAAGTCGAGTACAACAGGCATGTTTCAGACCTCGACGAGGATGCGTCGATCAGACTTTCATCCTCTAACAGGTTCTGCAAAACACGGGCATACCTTCCGATGGCCGACACTTGCCATATTTCTTCACCTGAAGGCGGCAGTAAACTCTGCCGACCGTAAAGCATTTTGACTGTCTGACTGTGTAGTGAACACTGAGAAAGTATATAACGCTAATCAAAGCTCTCTATTCGAACTCATGCAGCCGTGTAGATGACTATAGGGAGTTGTTATGTGAATTGATGACAACCAGTGGTGTTATTTAGAGATGTCCACAGTCACGGCTCCTATTTAACTTCGTCACAGATGTACTAATGGACTCAACGCTAAGTACATCTGACTTCATGCGGATCGATCTACTCCCTGAAGGTTATCGGATAGATTTAGAGAATACAGGTGACACCGTCCTGCTGGAGGAAGCTGCTGACAGTTTAGGGTCTTCTGAATTCCTTGAGCAGAAATCTGAGTATGTCTTGTATGCGTTTCGTACGTGTTGGATTTTAGGTTATGCTGTAGGAATCGCACCTACTACTATTTTAAGGATTGGAAGTGAAGTAAAATGCATCGACCACTTCACTTGTTTGGGGTAGTTGTAGCAACCGAAATGGGGCTAGTTGCTTACGAAAGTTTGACTGGGATACTGAAGGCTGTTTTGGAATTTGGCAACTTATGTCATCTCTGGAGCCGACTGGCAAGTTATCTAACTACCCAGTATTAGAATATTCTGCAATCAATTCTTTTCTACAGTGCGGATATGGGACATGGCATTCTACGTAGAAGATATGAAGAAATTACAGTCTTTTAACGGATGTCTTCGTAACATTGTTTATGTATGATGTGATCACTATGTGATAAATGTAGAGGTTATACAAAGGATACTATGCAAGTAAGGAAAGTCTATCGATGAGGTTATGAACTTTTAACTTATAAGGTTAGTTGGGCATGTGTTTTGCCTGCTATTCCACCGATTCCCTTGACATGTAATGTTGGGTGAATTAGGATTAGGTATTAATAAGTCTCAGTGTTTGCAGACAGAGACATAACAGCAGTCGATGGAGTTTTTGACCGTCAGTCTGTGTTATATGGGGTGGTGTAGGCTACCTAGTTGGGGCTTTCGAGACGTTAGGTATCGCTGGCTGCAGACTGTTTGTGACTTAGCTGATCGCTGGTGACAACGGCTCAGATGTATTCACTCTATGATGTCTTGTAAAGCTTGAGTGTTTTAACTGACCTTAATTTTTAAATTCCCTATCCTCTCGTACACCTTTATCCAGTTTGACATCAGTCTTTTTCTGCTGACTTGTTTGCTTGTTGGTGTGGAGTGTGACTGCTTGAACCAATTCATTTTTATCTGGGGTTCTACGATGATTTTGTATTTTTTTGTCGTCCACAAACTATTACACTTTTGAATGACTTAGCTTTGTAAATTTCTCTTGTCTCGTTTGTGTCTGGTTTTGAATTAGTCTTTCAAATACTATGTGAAGTCATATATCATCGACATTTTTTTAGTACTGACCACTTTCACTAATATTTGCTGCTAAGAAAACACCACTGATGCTAGCTAGGATTAAGGTTAATGTATGGTTAGAAAGCCGTTTTGACAAGTAGAATAAGTGTAATGCCTACTTTCAGCATTACTGTAGTTTGAGTAGCTGTCATTTCAAAATTAAAGCATGTAAAACCGAGAGCTTATATTTCTGCTTGCACTCTAGACAATTCAGAATGAATTAAGGACCTGTTGCTAAGAAACTGAACCTGCCAGACAACTTTTTCGAAGTGAATAACTTGGGCTACCATCGTTCTGAGTCGTTTAATGAGATCTGTTATCTACTGGAGAGGTTTATTGGGACATATTTTATAATTCAGTGATAAGCTGTCTGTGTTGAAACCCAAACTGTCAGCAAAGTTTAGGAGTAGTAATGTTACGATAATAAGTCATGAAAAGGCGAATCTTTTTCAGTCCTATAACTGTGTAAGGACTAATGATACTACTACTTGGCTGCCCAAACTTGGAGCGGTGCTCAAACCCGCAACTCACTTGTTGAAAGTCAATTTTCTAAGCCAAGGAGACTTCCAAAATAACATTCAAATAACTTCAGACACCCAGACTGAGTGATTTCTTAAATTCTTTTCATGATAATTTTACTCATCTTAGTCTTCAACAATGGCATATTACCTCTAATACTCAGTTTATTTTATACTTTCCAGGTTTTATCTTGTAAGGACAGTGAAATTAGTGATCATAAGGGATGAAAAGGTCTACAGGATTTCAGTACATTGACCGTGATCGGTTACTTTTAGCTATACGAATTGCAAAACGAGATGTTCAATGTTTGGCCTTCAGTAATGGTGAAGATAATACATATATTCATGAACCGCCTGAAAAGATCAACGTCAATCATAATTCAGCTTCAATTGACTACAATTCAACCAATGTAATAATTGTTTTCAATGAATATTTGTGTTTTGTGTCTAAACTATTCACTACTACGGTAACCTTAAATCTTATTTTAATATATGTATCCCCTTACTAAGGTTAAATAGGCATAATGTAGGATTTCACTAAATTACTCTTGGGTAAAGAAGTGAGCAGCCCAATTTTGATTCAGTTATTGATGTGACTGAGTGAATAATATTAATAATAACGCGATGAAGCATTTAGACTGTATGCGAATAGTAACTGTTCTTCCGTCACTGAGCCACAAAAATCAGAAAACCAAGACCTATCTGTGAGGAAGACACTTTAATTTACAAAATTCCTTCATTTATTTACAGTTTACATGAACATATAAAACCACTAGGTCAAAAATTGGATGTTTATTTTGATTGGTCAACTGTAGAACGAAATTGTCCAATAAGATATTTCCTGATTGCACAGTAATATGAAACAAAAGTTGAAATCAAAAATTTCTACCTTATCGGTTGATGACTTAAAAAATATTGATTTCCTTTTAGGCCGCTTCCTATCAGTTACCATTTCCTTGATAACACCATACGAGAAGTAACTTTGTGCTTTTACCTATAAAAACACGTCTGAAAAACACTAGAATCTTGAGGATGCCTACAACTTGTGACGCAAGAAATATACTGTGTTCACTTCTAGATTTAAACAGATCTACAGAGATACAATGTGTTTTCATTTGGTTACATTATATTTTGATGTTGTGCATAGAGCTTCAGATAATTTTTCTTAAAGTCTTCTGGGGAAAGTTTAATACTATTACACATACATGTAGGTTATTATATAAAATTTACTGTCGTTTGTTTTTTAGGTTACTAGAAATTTTCATGAAACACAAAAACCAATTTCAGGAAAGTCTAGAATATCAGCTTCAAGAAATGGGTTACAACGAGTAGTATGTAAGCCTACAGTGCATGAACAGTATCAAACAATGGAAAATAAAATGCCAGTACGTAGTGATTCACCTCCAATAAGGGATACAGATAACTGGACGCCGAATCGTAGACGTGCTCTTCACGAACCTACAGAAAGGCAACTGAGAAATTCCCAAGTAAGTTATCGGGTAATAGGGTATGGTATTATATTATAAGTCATATTATAACGCTGAAATTATGTAAAACATTATTATTATTATTTGTTCCTTGGGTTCCTAATGGAACATAGGCCTCCAGTAGCACGTCTCCAATGCGCTCTGTTCTCTGAAATCTTTTGAACCTGGCTCCACGACAACCCATAAGCTCTCATTTCTTCCTCACACAATCTCCTCCATGTCACCCTCGCCACGGACGCCCAACTCGTCGTCTCCCATCTGGGTTCTACTCGAGGGCCTGATGCGTAATGTCCCCAGTCGGTCTTCTCAGTGTGTGCCCAATCCATCTCCACTTCCTTCTGCATATTTGTTGAGCGATAGGTTCTTGGTTGGTTCGTTGCCAGCCAGCCAGGCCAGTCAGCCAGAGTTCCTTGTCGCTTATTCTTTCTGGCCATCTGAGCTTCAGTGTTGACCGAACGTAGGCAGTTGTTGATGAATATCTGTAGTTTATTGGAAATGCCTTTCGGAACGCACCAAGTTTTTGAACCATGTAGAAGCACTGACTTGACGTTGGTGTTGAAAATCTGGATCTTGTTCTCTATGCTGAGTGAGGTGTGGTAGATCTCCAAACTGGTTTCAGGTTAATGAAAGCCTGTCTTACAATCTTTCCGATCCTGGCTTTGACATTTTCGTCTGTGCCTGTGCCGCCTGTAGTTGAAACAGTGCTGCTTTGATAAATGAAAGAGGCTACTTCCTTTAAGTTTCTTCCTCTGTGGAAATTCTACCTAACTGATATTTCCTACTAACGTTGTTACTAATCACTCGCCTTTCTTTTACTACAAGTTCACGTTTTACTTGGCATCCAATGAGTGTGGTTACTGTAAGTTAGTTTTTTTTTAAAGTTTAAAATTTTGATGTTTTTTAGGAGTCTAGAATACGTCAACTACAAGCCAAAATGTCTCAGTATTCAGCTGCTTTAGCGGAAATTCAGGAGAAATATTTAATGGACAAGATTTCACCCAGAGAATCCAAATCATCTAATGAATTAATGAAGAAATCATCCTTGAAACCTACTAGAAATCGTCCAAAATCATCCTCAGTGTCAACTTCACTTATACGTCCAAAATTTACAAGTTTACGTCCTCGTTCAATACACAAATCTAATCTACACTATCCCAACAAAACACAAAAGCCTGTTTCTTCTAGTAGTATAAAGCAAATAAATGATAATGATACAATGTCTCCAATTACTAATTCTATGAATTCTGAAAATCATTATAATTCAAAAATTGATTCACTTTGGGAGCAGGCTGCTAAATCACTTAATATAAACAAATCTGATGTTGTAATACTTCAACCAGATAAATCAAAACATCTCACGGTAAAATTGTTCCTGATAACACTATTGATAATATTTAATTTTACTTAGTGGTAGGTACCAATGAAATCCAGGATGCTCGTTTTTTCCTATATTGGAACTCGTCAGTTGGATGTATCTGCACCTCAGTGGGTGATAGTTTTCTTACTGAGCCTCGAACCCCGAACCCATCATTTCAGACACCAGAGCCTTATCCACCAGGGCACTGAGGTACGAGAGTCACCTCTTGCGCTACAAGTTTCATTTATTATATGTTGATATTCGCGATTTCGGGTCTCAGTTAGAACATCGTCACTTACTTGGCTGCACGTACGTCCATCTGACAGGTTTGAAATAGGAGGAAAGGGACATCTTGGATTCTACCGGTAGCCAGCATCAAGCAAATTGTAACATATTAAACCTTCAGGTAATATCGAGGCATCTTCATTGAAGTCCATATAGCTAGCAGAGGTGGATCAGTTTGATTCAGCATAGCAAGATGAGGTCATCTGGTTGACTTGGAGTATGCAGACGATATTGTCCTGTTACATGATGAGACTGACAAAACACAATGTCTTCTGAACGCCTTGGGTAGAATCTGAGTATGCTTGACATGCATTTCGCCCTTGTCAAATGTAAGATGATGTTTCTTGACTGGTCTGCAACTACTAGGAGTTTAATGATCGAGAATGAAGTGTTTGAATACCTCAACCAATTCACTTATTTGCGGAGTTAAATCAACCTAAGCTGGGTGGTTACTGTCAAAATCTCAGCTTGGGTACAAAAGCTTGTTTAGACGAGTATATTGCACTGCAGTTCATTCTGTCCTGCTATACAGATATGAGACATGGATATCAAATGTGAAAGATATGGAGAGGTTGTGGGGTTTCGATCACAGATGTCTTCATAGCACTGCTTGTATTTACTGAACTTACTGTGTAAGCAAAGTTGACTTCAGATGAAGGGTACTTAGCAAAGAAGGCCGACAAGTCGATTGATGAAGTTGTGAGCCTTCATCGACTAAGAGGGCTCGGATATGTGCTGCATATGCCGATGAACCGCCTACCTCGATGTGACATGCTAGGGAATTTGGATTACGTTGGTGGTGGTCAGACCAAAACATGGCATCAGTCGATGAAGTGTCTGACTGTTGATTTGAACCGTACGGGTGTTGCAGACTACCTGGTTAGGTCTTCGAGACTAAATGAATCAGTGGTTGAGTAGTGTTGGTGAAATGGTAACAGTGGTCCAGATGCATTCACTCCTTGACATCTAAAGCTCAACTATTCTCATTATCTTTCCCACTACTTCGTCTACTTTGATATCACTCTTTTTCTGTCCACCTGTTCCTTGTATAGTACTGCGAAGTGTGGCAACTTGAGTCAATGCATCTGTGTACAAAGTTCTACGTTGACTTTGTCAGTCAGTCATTCAAGAATTTACGAGTATCAATAAATAACACTATCGATGTCGCTATGCAATTTAACTAAGAGTAAAGTATTAACCTTTAAAAGCAAACTCACGTTTTTATATTGAGTTCACATGATTCTACTTATGATTTTTCATAGGCATGCCGTTGTTAGAAACAGATTGGTTGTGATGTACTCAACTGTGCTTATTGTACTTTTCTTTTCTTCTGCACTAGTTTATCAATGACTGCAGGCTGAACACCTAAGCAACAACACTTTTAAGTGTAGTTCTAAGTGATACAGTCTGCGATTCTAAAGGAAACATGAGTTTCTTGAAGACTAAGAGTATGTATTAATGTAGCAGAAATTGTCAATTACCTTTACAAAATGTGTATGTCTTTTTTGTAAACATTCTTCATTTACGGAAATGTTGTTTTCAAGCTGGAAAACTACACTTTTTTCTGTTTATGACTCTTAACTTGCTGGTTCGCTTCACTTGAATGATGAATGTATCTAGACTTGTAATTGAATCGATATCAGAAGACAGAACTATTGTTGAACTGAGTGAGGTGTATGTGTACATGTATCCTAAAACGAAATAAAGTTATTCATATTCAGAGGATGTGACTGAGGCAGCATAACTATAATATACTAATCAGACAACAGATATTCATTTCAAGGGGATATGATTCATTAGCTTAGCCATTCAACCTTCAAGCAGTCGGTCCTAGGTTCCAACTGTCTTCCACACACTGGTTTGAACAATTGGGAATTATCGTAAGTTCTCGCACTTCAAGTATGAGTTGACTTGCATTAATTTAAGGAACTAGCGTTAAAGGTAAAATGGTTGTCATAGATGGTTAATCTATATATCCTGACTAATGAGTACAAAGCTACGCTCTTGTCCATCACTACATTGCCTAGAGTAGGAAATAATGCGGGTTTTTTTTTCACAGAATAGCATCAAAATAATTGCGATGCTTAATGAATTATACTTTCATGGACTTTCTTGTTTTTGGGGGTTTTTTCTTCCCAGATGAAGACTAATGTGAATGAGACAGCGAGTCATGATATATAGCATAATGAGCATTTGTTTTTTCACTGGGAGATATTTGATTACTTGAAAAATTCCGTAATCAGATGTATATATATATATATATATATATATATATATATATATATATATATATATATATATATATATATATAACGTAGTATTTACCGTGAACGTGGGAGGATTGGACAACTGCTTCATCGTAATATAGAACTCTTCAGAAGTACACCGCGATCTCGCCAGGTATCGAACACAGGACCTTCAGGTTTCCTGGAGAAGGCGATAAGCATTCACCTACTGACTAAAGGTACTACTACTGAACAGTTTGAGTAGGTAGAAACCACTCAGGCTGATCTGTGGTGTATTTCGCCAGTCAGATCAGAGTGATCTAAACACCGGACTGCTATTTCGGCCGTTTAAGGCCGACATCATCAATAGTGTGCCCGGACGTATTCAGTTGATACATTCGAATTGGTTCAGATCTGGTTAGCTGATTTTTATGGATCTGTATATCTAAAATGGGATGGTCAATTTAAAAATGATTTACAGATTGCTTGGTCTAAGTTGACATTTCTCATAGTTGAGCAGTTGAAAACAAGCCACTTAGCTGTGAGGGATGTGAATGAGGATCATGCAGTTTGTAAGTAATTTACAAATTGATCATTCCGTTCAGCCATTGAATCAGAATTCATTAGATGACAGTTTCTTACTTCTCTTAGTTCGCGATATAACTCTACTGTCCAACATGGTCTGAAGTTGGTATCCGCGCTTCACTTCCAGCTGGTTGACTCCACTAGTCACACCTTCTCATTAGAACTATGAGATATTCATCTACAAACAGGTCACTAATGAGCACTATACAGTAATGTAGTTTTTTTTGAGGTTTATAGGGGATTTCATTTTTAAAGTAGTGTTCATCACTAACTGACATCAGTTAGTACATGACGGTTTTGGGTTTGATCTTTGGCAGGGTCATGGGTGCGTACTATTGAGGAGTCCCATGTTAGGACGAAACAGCTATCCAATGATCCTAGGTTTCCAGTGGTTCTGCAATTGATACCTTAAAATAATCCCCATAAATTTCATTATATGTACATATAACTTGTGTATTTAGTGATATTGTCATGTTTCTTCACCGGTTACGTTAAACATGAGTTTGATATTTGAGAGTTGGTGGTTGTTATCTTGTCTAACACTAGGTATGGATGATAACTTTAGAAAATGATAGTATGACTACCTTATTTGTTCTGTTTATCATTGATTTTTATTTTTCTTCAACATAACTTTTGTTACTGAATAGGACCAAAGTTGTGAGAAATCGTTACACACATCTGTCAATGGCTGTAATTCACAAATTTCATCTAACCAACTTAATACCGATACAATAAATTCAAGTAATTTATTTCTAATATTTTAAATAGTTTGTTCGTAAATTAGTAGTAATAATGATGTTGATAGATTTTACTTTCATGTTAATTCATTTGCACTGTTACTGACGATAGTTCTCCTGACAAAATACTACCGATTAAAGATAGACAGACAGATAGACAGACAAAATCAATGTACAACTTCGCTCAAAAGTGCGTCGGTTCAAGTTGCCCTACTTTACAGCAGCCTGCAAAAGAGGAATGGATAGAAAAAGACTGATATCAACGTAGACAAAAGTGTATGGGAGGAGAAGGAATTTAAAAATGAAGGATAGCTGCCCCCTTGATGTGATGATATCACTATAACTTAACGAATTATACTGGTAAGACACCTGTTATCTCGACGTCCTATCATAACAGGAAGGTCAGTTGGATAGTGGTAAGATGAAAAGTAGTCACCGTTATAATTGAAATTATTACACTATAGTGGGAGTCCAAGGGCGAAGTCGTACTGTTGCTAGTTGGATAAGGATTTGGCGAAAGTAAGATGTTTCCCGCGGATGACTATGTCACGCTGATGTTGCCTTCTTTATGGGAAGATGGATCAGAAAAGGCCGGCCCTAAAAATAGTACACTCTTCTCTACCCTATTGTATACCGATATCAGCAATAGGGATTCTTAGTTAACTTCTGAACTGATAAACTTAAATCTCAGACTGATTAAGGAGCTACTAAAAATAAGGGATTGGTAAACAGTTCATTTTATCTGGATCTACCACTCTTCAAAAATCTATTATATTTCTTTGTAATCCATGATCTAAAGCCCGGAAATGATCAAACGTGTATGATGCTGAGAGGTCTGAAATAGTGGTTAAATGCATGTCCGGTATTTTATAATAGTCATTAATCCATTGCGTAATATTTTCTTGTAATGAGCCTGTCGTTATGTTTTAGGTCGGTATTCATCATGGGCTGATATCAGTTGGGGCAACATTGGAAACCTAGTAGCACTGAATAGGTGTTTCGTCCTAGCATGGGACCCCTCAGCAGCTCGCATCCATGACCCCACCGGGGATCGAACCCAAGAACATCAGGTTCCGTGGCCAGCACATTATCATTAAACCACTGGGTCGAAATCCAGTGGTTCATATTTCCTGTTTCTGTCAGCTCCCGAAATACAGCGACCTCCAACCAATGTCGTCGTTGAGTAACAGTCCTCATGTTCGATTTGGTTAACCTCTACAGTCACGACTTCTCAATAGAACCTCGCGCACTGCTGAGAAGTCTTATACTAGGACGAAACAGCTGTACAGTGTTCTGCACAAATTGCTTAGGATATCCCTTTCAAAAACATGTTAATTTATAAAAAATCAAAGTATGAAAATGATTCATTCAAAAGCCAATCTTTCAATAAGTGAATTTCACTTTTCAAAGTAGTATTCATCACGGACTGATATCAGTTGAAAAATCAGTTGAAGACGTTGGAGGATAGTCTCACTGTGTCACGAATTGACAGAAGTAGAATACTGTTAACCATTGGATCTAATGACTGAGTGGTTAACGCGTTTACCACGAACGAGACCTGAAGGTCCTGAGTTCGATCCCTGGCTTGATCATTGGTACGTATCGCTGAGGAGTTCCATACTACGGCGCAACAGCTGTTCATTACCCTCAAGTTTTCAATAGTCCTCCAATTGTTGTCAGTCTTTGATGAATACTACCTTAAAACTGAGAATTATATCTTCATAAACCTTTTGTATTACTGAGAAGTGCTTTGATCGCCTTGATATACACTTCTTTGAATGATTTGATTTAATTCTCTAGATTTCGATAATGATAATATACTCAGACGTGCAATTGAACAATTATTGTTAGAAATTGATCAGGCTGAAATTGAAGAGAATGCTATTCGTCGTCGATGGGCTAACAAATTAGTCTATATTGATGATAGAATGCATTCTTCAAATTGTTTTCATTCCATTGCAAAAACTGATCCAGTATGCATAAATCATAACTCAAATCTAATTTCTACGTAAGTTATGTATGTGTATATGAGTACTACGTTTTATTTTTTGTATCTTTTGGTTATTATTACTTATTATTATCACAGTGCACTTGGTTTGATGTTAGATGGTTGGAATTAGTCGACTGGAAACTCTGGACCTAGATTTCGTCCTTTTTGATACTCATCAGAAGGGTGTGTCTGCAAAATGAATGGATAACACGAAATAAGTTACTCTCCAGTGACCAGTCAGTATACCTGTTGCAGTCCTACAAGAGGTCAACCGTTATCGATAGTTCAGTGGTGAAGTCTCTAGATGCAGCATTGAATGACATGGATTCAAATGTCTAAGGGGACATCGATTCCCTCGAAGTTGCAGATATATCAGATTTCACTCTTTTCTAGGTTCTGGAATACAAACACAGTCACTAACACTAGCTATATTTATAGGTTTGAGGGTGGCGTTCAACCTCGTTGATCGATAGGTCTTACGGCAGGGTCTTTCACTCAAAGAAATGCCGAACAAGTACATCACTCTATAGCAGGCTCTGTCCTCGAACACCTGTGGGCGTGTCACAGTCTATGGTGAGTTGTATAAGTCAGTTGGTGTCCGTCAAGAGTGTGCATTCTCTCCACTCTCATTCAGTTTCATCATAGACTTAATTATGGAGGTCCTTCTCGTGTCGTCTGACTTCACAGGGAGTGATTTTATTACAGGAGATGACATAGTCCTGTTAGGTGAAGACAATGACAAGAAGCAGAGTCTTCTGTACACATTGAGTGACAATTTAAGAATATTTGGGATGTGTTTCTCTAGCTATTGATATACAATTTGTTGCTCTAGGACTGTTCTTCTCTGGTGCCTTGTTTAACACTACAGAGGGTGTTGACCACTTCACTAACCTGGGAATTTAGATCAACCGTGGTGGCTTAGTGTCTAGGAAATCTGCGCATGGATACAAATGGCTCGCTTGACTTTCTCAAATTACTACATTTATGGTACTGCTACGATAGCCGATTGTCGATTGAGAGCCAAATGAACTGTGTTGCAGTTCACTCTCTTCTTCTGCAGGGATCTGAAACACGGCCATTAAAGTCAGTGGATATGAGAAGGCTTCAGGTATTTGACCCCCCTTGGCTTCGTAGTATAGGTCATGTTGTTTAGTGTCACTCTGTCAGTAATGTAGAGGTCAGGTTTAAATTTTCAGGGAGAATAGGAAAGTGAGTTGATGAAGTTGTGAACTTTCATCGATTCAGGTAGCTGGGGGTTCGCATAACAGCAGCAACCTGGAGTTAAAGACTAGTTAATGTGGTTCAGAATGGCGCATATGTATCCATTCGTTTTCGCCATATTAGTCGTCATATTGAATTTCGGTATTTTCTCATTCCTCCCTGCTCTCTTTTCACTACTTTCTACCACTTTTAACTGCTTTCTCTTATCTTAGTACATTCTCGCTTGATGTACTGATACGAAGTATGGCAACTTGGACCATCACATAGTAATGCCAGGTGATTTTTTCTGTCTTTCTGTCTATAGTGGAGTCGTTTAAACTATTGTAGCACATGATTTGTCAAGGACTAAGTGTTTTGTAATTGAATTTGTGTTAATAGCAGATCATAAGTTGACTGATAACATGATTTCACTATCTCCTTTATTTCAATTCCTTTAGTCCTATGAAATAATTGAGAATTTCCACTACTTTACCAGTTCGTCTTGATATTAGCAAAAATTTTAACAGAACTATTACGTTCCCACTGATCCTGGGAGCAATTTGGAATACTAGTCCAAAACTTCAAAAATACTAACTAGTCATGCCTCTACTAAATTATCATAGCTTATCCACCTAGCTTTATGGGGTTAAAAAAAGGCGTATAAACAATCAATTTTTAGCAATGTTTCCCTGTGGTTACATTGTTGTGCCTTACGCTTAGTCTTTCTCTTTTTATTTCTCTCCTATGTTTTTGGCGAACATTTACGACTGTATCAGCTACCTTTTTAAGATTGTCTGCTTTACCTATCGAAATGATCCGTTGGAAATAATATCAACTAGAATGATTTTTTTATTGAGTTCTCGTCATTCCAAACAGATTAACCAAGAAGTTATATGTTCAAAGCATATAATTACTCATTCAACGGTAAAGTCATACTACTGACTGTATTAAAATGTAACACTGGTTAGATGTGTTCCAAGGATAACTAGCATGTTAAATAATACTCCCTTCTTATTGTTGGAACAAGGAGTTGATTCCGAAAACAGTTGCTTTTGACCTATGAACTTTCCGTAGTGATAGTAAACTGCTAAATGAAATCTAAAAAGAATATATGTTACGGCTTGAAATTGGATGTTCTTTTGGTTTTAAGATTTCACAGTTAGGTCGATATGACCTTCAATACTATTGTGACTTCTTTTTCACACACCTTGAGAGGTAAATCCGTCTAATGTAGGTTATTTGAGAGGTGTCATTCACAACACACGATTGTCTTCTATGTACAATGAAAGGAAACTCTTCAAATGGAACAGATTTAAAGATGACAGAATCAAGATTTTTACTCACTTATAATCAGTCATAGAATAGAGACAATATTTATGTCACTGGCGTATACAAAGTATCAGTATGAAATGCTTTGAAGAGTAAACTTTTATTACTCAAATGATAGTGAGTAGGCTTTTGAGCGTTTCCAGTGTGGTAGCATTATTTCCTCTTTCTTTGTCCACTCTATGAAGTATAGTTAATTAGGTATAGTAATGATGGGTAGTGGCAAGCAGTGGAATCCAGGATGCGCATTTCGTCCTACTCGGGACTCGTCAGCTGGATATACCTGCCTCCTAATAAGTGATGTTGTTCCTACTGCATCCTGGATTCCACTGCTAGCCACTACCCATCATTACTATGTATCATTGGAACACAGGCAATATCGAGGCATCCTCACAGAAGCCCATATACCAACAGAGACTGGTCGATTCGGTTCAATCAACGACGGTGTAATACAAGCAATAACACTATAGTTAATTAGACTTAATATTTGACTTATTCAATTGTAACTTCTTTAGTTTCTCGTTGTACTGTTTAAAAAGTGTATCATTCTGTGCTGTTAGAGACTTTTGTTAGATCCACTACTAATTTATACACAGACAGCTATACTCTTTAGTTAAAATATCCAGTCTTAATACACTTACAGCTAATCACAACCTTTCTTATTTCTCTGTGAATAATATCCTATTAGAATAACTCAGAAAGAAACTATCTAGTGAAATACAGATGGCCAATGATTGAGGATTCTGCGTGATATGACTTAGAATTTATCATGGTAGGGCAAATGGTTTGGCACATTGTTTTTATTCTTACCGTTACATCACATTCTTTATTTGTTTTAACCCTTCTCCTCTTCTTAGGACTATCTCTACAACTTTTGGTTGCTTTTTCTTCATTTTCTCTGTTGTTTGTTGTGTATTTTAATGTGCTAGTGTGAGATATGACAACTTTGACTGTTGTTTAGTAACACTGTCTTATTTTAATATTTCTTTTTAAAGAAAAAACCTTTTTTCAGAATACTATGAACTTTTGCCTTTTCTCTAGATAAGCACAAACTTATTACATTAGAAGGTTTGTTGGTCATCAAGGAATGATCAGAAATTTTAAAATACAGTATAATTATAAATTATGATCGAAAAGACGAGAGTTCATCTGTCCATATTTTGAAAATTACTATGAAAACATATTCTAACTAAACTTAAGTGATGGCTTGACTGACTGATAAAATCAACGTAGAACCTTGTACACAGCCGCATCAGCTCAGTTTGCCACACTTCAAAGTAGTACTCAAAGAACAGGTGGATAGAAAAAGGATGTAGTGCGAGAGAATCAGCAATCTGAACAATCAAGCCTAGTGATGACCAATCACATTCGAGCATACACTGACCAATCATAACCGAGCATTTCAACGACAATGTAATAAATCAGAAAAATAGCATTTTATTTACAATTCATGAATTTTTTTTTGTGAGAAATAAAGATGTCTAGATTTTTAACAGTTTTATCATCTTTGAAATCATACCATTGTCTTTATTGCCACTTATCGATATGAGAGCATATCATTTCACCTCTTGAAGTTCTCAAGAACTTCACATATTTTCAACATTGTTTATATGCACTCCAGTTATCAGATGAAGGGAGTGCTTTTTGTTGAGAATAGAATAACCCATTTCAGATAACGGGATATGTTAATTCCAAGCATTTGTGTATGTTGTAGTTACCGATCCTACCCATTTTTCTATAAGTGATGGGGTTGATTCTTCTTGTCCCTTTATTATCCACCGAAAATGTCCTTTCTTCATATTTCGATCGTATGTACCAGGACTTTGTGATTTGTCAAAATATATGCACGTAACTTACACAGTTCTCTTTAAGCCATCTTTCTCGGTCATATTTACCTTTCCGAACGAGACATTCATCTGTTTCTAATACATTGCCTACTCTAGCAAAATTCATACCCAGCGTGCACATTATTTCGACGTAGATACCTTTATATTACTGATACTCCTGCACTGCAGGCAGAGTATTACAGGTGTTTCAACAAACTAATGTAGTACTAAAATCATTAATTGTTGGAAATTTAGCTGAGATTTTAGCTTCAGAGATTTCTTCTTGTAACACCTAGGACGACGAAAGATGAAACTGATTCTTCTCATAATGGTTGGTAGGTAATCAATTACAACACCTTATTCATAATTTAAACTTCTCGCAAACGATTCAACTCTCCTTAAGTAACTGAAAACGTATTCTTTACCCAATTCATCAAAAGTTGTGCTACACCGACGATATGGTAAATAGACGTAAAGAAATGACCTTGACACATACCATCTTCAATCTGATTGGTCCTTCTTAAGGTTTCCGGTCACTTCAGTGTAGTTAAATGGGAAGTAGTAATCTATTATTTGATATATGTAATTAGGAGATCGTGATCACCATTGGAACAGATAAAAGAGGTAATCACGAAGTTCGTCTTCAAGTCAATAAAGATTTTCTGTTGCATCATTTCAGATATATGAGTCAAGCCTTAATCTTTTATTTGAGGAGTTCTTTAGAAAGATCTAGATGTATTCAGATTATATTGTATGTTGATTATTATGAACGTGTTCTTGTCGTTGATCCTAGATCCCGTATTTGATTCACTGAAATGTAAACTGTTTTAGATGTTTTGAGCGAAGTATGGTGAAGCTCATCCCCCATCCATCTAACGCATATTCTTTGTTTATTTTTGTTTGTATCATTGAACACTGGGTTTGTGCCAGGTTCAATCTTGATTTGTCAGCACGTAGTTCAACCTGGATAGTCATTCAGTTTCATAAGTTGTCATATTCAATGTATAATACCCTAGTACATTAAACTCTACGTAGATAAGTCGCAATAATATAACTGATTGATTAAGTATTGACTAATGTTTGTTGTTTCTTCCAGTGAGATTTCCATATCATGGAAATCAATTAGCTTATAGTAGATACTTAGCTGATGTACCCTTTATTAGAATAACAATGTGTTAGTTAGTTAGAGACAATCAGTAGGAAACCCTGGACATAGGTTTCGTGTTTATCGGCCCTCATCAGTTGGACGTATCTGCAACCTTGAAGGAACTGATGTCCTCTGACACTCAATGCTACAATCAATGACGTTACCACTTGGTTGTTTGGGCGGCGATAGTGTACCTCCTTGGTTGGTGACCATATTGAAAGAAAATGATCAACAGGACTCGGTCAACACTCAAGACAAGACAACATATAGTTGGTTGCTTTCCAGTGATCCATCAACTACAATATTTCTTTTAGCATCTAGACTTTTCATTAGAATTAGGGTAATTTTGTAAAGTATAATTTCATTATGAATAAGTTCGTTTGATGTTTCACAGTGGTTCAGTGTTATTTACTCAATGACGTTTGGAGCACTATTTATCGATTATAATCATATCAAAATGAGAATACAACTTATCCGCTTCTTTTACGCCTTTCTATTACTTTTCCTTCTTTGACTTTAATAATAGTAGCATCTTGTCTGTGTCCATTACTGGAGTTGAATTTTCCTATCATACGTACTATTGATTCAATGAATGAAATTCAGCAAACAGCCATTCTCTGTCCATCCCTCTCTCTCTGTCTCTTTAGGACTCTTACTTTTCCCGGTCATCTTGGATGATTCTACGTTATTTCAATATACCAATGACTGCCTTTCTAAATTATTTACATCGGTGGAGTTCTTTGTTTTAAATTTAGCTAATTTCCTATTCTATGAGATATCCTGAGTGCTCCAGTTAACTACATTGAACTATGTACCTCACTTTACAATCATGACATGGTATTTCTTAAGTAAGATGAAATTTATTCTCCATACGTCAATAGAATTCTTAAACCGATATCATATTCTTCCTGAAAGGTTACAGTTTATTTACAAATCATTAGATTAGTTTATGACGCAAGTAATGTCATAGACATAAACATTAAATAGGTCTTAAACTCTATAGGAACAGTTTTTCAGTGTTATTTATGTTTCATTCTTCATTTAATCGTTGCTGCATAACAATGAAAGTTATTCGTGAGCGGTTCTTACTTTCTACTTAGTAAAGGTGATTGAACTTTTTTGCTTGTCTCATAATATTTGCAAATCCTTCAGTTATTCACACATATTAGCGAATAATATTGCTTTCAGTTAGATCTTCTCAAGTTTCACTGTAATAAATATGCATAGATTTCAACATATATGTAAAATGTGAACTTTGTAGAAGGGAAAAGGATGTATAAAAAGCTCTGCTTTGTCGAATTTAGCTGATAGTGGTCATAGATTGAATGAAAAGAAAATGTTTAAAATGATCTACCGTATTCGATTGAGTTCAAACTCTCCTTCTGCGTATGACCGATGATATAGGAATTCAAATGAACAGTCCGAAGAAGAAGAAATTTGTACAGCTTTTATCTCTGCTCTTGGCCAGGGGAAGCCTAGTGAATGACTTTACCTACAGATTCTTAAAATTCTCTTCTTCGCCTGTTGATTTTATTTTTGTCACTCCTTGCACATCTCTACTGTATTCACATTCAAGTTTTATTTATCCACCGCCTTCATCTTTGAGTATTAGACAGCCTTATTGTCCTTGTTTGTCTGTATGAACACCCGTCTACATTGTCATGTCATCCTCAACATTTGTATTATCTCTTATAGTGGCACTAATTTTATTATTCTAAAGTACACAATTTGCATTGTTGTTGTCAGCCGAAGAATTTGGTGGATAGTTATGGTAGAACGCTAATTGAAAGAAGTAGGAAATTGTGGGCTAGTGAACTCCAACTCACTGACCGAATGGTTAACGCGTTTGTCGCTAGCAAGACACAAATATCTCGAGTTCAACCCCTGGTGGGGTTGTAGGTGCATACTTTGAAGGAGTCCCATACTAGGACGAAATAGCTGTCCAGTTCTACCACATCTCAAGGGGTTTGTCAACTGAGCTTAGTTCGCAATGAATACTATTTTATATGTATATTGAAGCTATGTTGGAGTGGAGCCAAGGAGGTCTGATTGAAAACAATATTGTTTGTTTGCATGCCTTTTCACGATGGGAATTTTAACTTTTTTTAATGTGTTGTTTATTGAAGATCGTGTGGTGAATTTCAATCAGAAATGAAGTACAAACCATTCTTATGTCCTGATCCTCCAGCTGATCCTATTACCTCACCTCTTCCACAGGTAACTGTCTTTTTTATTGTAGTCAAGAATTACACTTTAATATTTTTCACACATTTAAAAGTGATTACGTCTAATTCAGAGATTTTGAATTTGTGATATTTGTGGATACGGTTTGAATTCAACAAAAATGCATTATTCTTTGTCCCATGGGTTCCTAGTGGAACATAGGGCTTCAGTAACATGTTGCCATCTCACTCTGTTCTCTGCAGGCTTTTGAACATGGCACCACGACAGCCTATAAGCTTTCATTTCTTCCTCACACGATCTCCTCCATGTCACCCTCGGATACCCAACTCGTCATTTCCCCTTTGAATTCCACTCGAGTACCTGGCCTGACGCGTGATATCCCCGAATGGTCTTTTTAGTGCATGCCCAATCCATCTCCACTTCCTTCTGCATATTTGTTGGGCGAAAGGTTCTTGACTGGTTCGTTGCCAGCCAGCCAGAGTTCCTTGTTGCTTATTCTTTCCGGCCTTTTGATTTGACCTTTAGTATCGAGTGGGCGTACGCGACAGCTGTTGATGCATGTCTGTAGTTTGTTGAGAATGCTTTTCGTGACGTGCCAAGTTTCTGAACTATCACAGAAGCACTGGCTTGACTAAATTAGTGTCGAAAATCCAAATCTTGTCCACGCTTTAAGCTGAGCTCAGTCTAGTGGAGTAGATCTTCACACTGATTTCGGATTAATGCAGGAAGGCCTGTCTTGCTTTTCCGATCGTGGCTTTGACATCCTCGTCTGTACCTGTGCCGCCTGTAGTTGAAACGATGCTGCCTCCCTTGGTAGGTGGAAGAGACAACTTCCTTTAGGTTCCTCCCGTTCACGGTGATGGGTGTTTGTTGTTGTTGTTGGTTGGTTGGGTATCTTCATCACTTCCGTCTTCTCTGCATTCACTTGAAATCCCGTCTTCGCTGCCTCTTCTGTCAACTTGTTGGTTTTTGCCTGTAGATCTTCGAGCTTGTACGACATGAGACATTAGACATAAATCGTGATCAGTGAAATGCAAATCTTCCAGGGTCTTTTCATCAGTCCAGCCAGCGTCCATCTTCTCACTCCTCACAGGTTGTTGCGTGATCCAGTCCACTACAATGAGGAAGATCATCGGTGATAGTAGGCGGCAACCTTTTCTTACCTCTCAACCTGTCTTCACTTCAAAGGTGTCACTGAGCTTTCTATTGTGGATCACTTGGCATCTGACATCGTCATACAGTTGTTGAATGAGGTTGACAGAGGTTTGTGAGACTAAAACCGTATTGTTGAAGCAGTTTCCAAATTACTTCTCAGTCGACGCTGTCAAAGGCCTTTTCAAAGTCGATGTAGTTGAGGTAGAGAGTTGACTGCCATTCTATACTCTGTTCTATGATGATGCGTAGTGTAGCGTTTCAATTTTATCCGTGCGTGATTTGTTCTTCCTGAAGCCAGCCTATAATGGTCGTAATTTTGAATGCAGAGCATTTTTTAGTCTCTCCAGGATAAATTTTGAGATTTGATTTTATCGATCAGACAGTCATCTCTTCATTCTCATTTTCTTAGATATTTCTGTACAGTAAGAGTTTTTACTATGATAAGAGGTTAGTGAAACAATAAATCTGTAGAAAATCTAAATTTACAAAGTATTATTTAAATTTTCTTCAAATTTTTTTCTTTGCAATACAAGTTTTGATAGAGTGATTGTGTAGAAGCACAAAGTTACCTGCATAAAAGCATATGTAGTGGAAATTGACATTGAATTTCTGATTCAAAAACTAAGGAAGGTTTTAGATCACTACTAAAAGTTGTCACTTTGAAATCTATTCTGTATTCCATTGCTAAACGGAGAAATATTGTTCTGTCACATCAAGACGAGTTAAATGATTCTGTTTTTAAGCTAAGACTCACTACTGTTATCCCAAAAGCATAGTATACGTGTGGCTAAGTCTTTTATCCTTATGAAAATTAGCGTCATGTTCAAAAGTGAACTCGAATACCACTCAGAGGATTAAGTCATTTCAACCTTCGTACATCATTTTACATGTATGGAGACATAAATAGGAGGGCTTACCGAACTATGCAATCAAAGATGGTGCAACATGCTTGCAAATATCTACACTGAAGTACTCTGATAATTGTTAGTGAAGGGAAGTTACGTCATTCTCCATATAAGAGTCGTAAAAACAACCTCAAAACATACTTTTAAACATTATCTTATAATGGTAAAGAATACACACTTATATTTTGGCTATACAAGGATTTATGCCTCCTTCCTCCTTTGTACTCAAAGGAATTACTCAATGATGGAGGTTGATGAAGGTCGCATTATGTAACCAACTAAAAAAAGTAGGTAACTGTGGACCACTGGATTCCATCCCAGTGGCTCGATGGTAACGTGCTGTCCAGTAAACCTGAGATTCGCAGGTTCGGTCTATGATATGGTCGTGAGTGCGCGCTGCTGAGAAGTCTCATAATAAGATAAAACGACTGTTCAGTGCTCCTAGGTTTTCAGTAGTTCTCCAAATGATATCAGTTTGTGAAAAAAGTCATTCTTACTTTACCATCTCCTTTTATTTCTACGTCTTTCATCGTTTATCATTTTAATCTTTTTCTTTTCCTTCGTTTCATTGTTACACTTTATATAAAATCTCTTGACAAATAAACATGTTTTACCAACTGAGGTATGAGACCTGACTGCTGACTGGATCTTTATTTCACTTCAATCACTAAGAGTTTTGCCCGATAATCCTATGAATTCGTGACGCCTTAATACCGCTTGATCGTACTCTCACTGACTGTTCAATCAATCAGGATTTCTCATCTTAATTCAAATCTAATTGAATTAGAGAAGGGAAGCATCATATTGATTACCATTTCGACTATCTGGGATAGTGATAGTAACACGTCAAGAATTCAAATGAAAGTCAAGCAAAACCCTTGGTGTTTGAAGTGAAATAAAAATCTGGTCAGCAGTCAGGCCTTGTAGCTCATCTAGTAGAGCATCGGGCTGGAAATCCTGTGGCTGCTGGTCCGAATCCGACTAAGGTCCAGATTTTCACTTCACCTTCAATCATTATCTATTATCAATACGAGTCTAATAAACCAAAGCTATTTCAGATTGTCAAAATGATAAAAAATCAACGTATGCTCATATTGTTTCAAGCTTATTGCCGCAACTACATAAACTTTTTCAGATAAACTTTAGTCTCACACTATAGTGTGCAAAGATTTTTATAATGGTTTGCTTGTTACCGGTTCATTTTGTCAGTAAATTTATCTGGTCACTTAACTGACATACTGAATATACATTTGACGCACAAGTGTCACTGTATATGCTGGTATATCTAACAGATGACTGGTTTACCAGCACCACCACCAACTGTGGTGTTAACACATTTGTTCTTGGAATAGAATTAACTATATTCTCAAACTAATCATTACCAATAGAATATACTACTGCGTTCATCAAAGGTATACTGCTGATAGTTTTATGTTACATATTAGTTTCATCTACTCTCTGTAATAATTCTGCAGTGGATGCTACTGATAAGAATGGATATAAGTAATATATGTTGAGAGGTCGGCAGAAGTCATAGGCAGTTACCAATGATGGGTAAAGATTCTGCCCAGAGAAACATAAGAAACAATATGAGAGTATGAAGAGTAGATCGAGATAGAAGTGGAAGAGGAAATGAAGCACACTGTGAAAATGACTATCTTAATAAAAGTGTACAATATTTATCATTACTGTACAAAATGTTATAACAAACATCCCTTCCTGTGTCTCAGTCTTTTCGTTTACTACAATTGGTGTCACTGCTTCTGGACATGGTGAAGACTCCGTGGTCTGGAGTGTTCGAGAATGGAGAAATCAAGGTCTTCCTCAGGGATTTCGAGTCGGTCGCGGAGCTGGTTGGTGTCTGGGATCCAGGAGCGAAGGTCGTGGTGCTTGGCACGTTGCTAAGGGGTAGAGCGAAATCAGTATATGACGGCGCGGAACGTGTGGGTGGGAAGGAGATTTGGGAGAGAATGGTTGAACGACTAAAGGCAGAAATTGACAGCCTAGTGGACAGGGAGCTGGCGATGCAGCATTTCCGGAGCGCGAAACTTAGAATAGACGAAGATCTTCTGGTGTTGGCTGTGAAATCGACAAAGGTACTTCGACGAGGACTTTCGACTTTGTTTAAGGACTCCTAAGTACAGTTGCTGGCTGCACAGTCCACCGAGACTGTCTGGAATGCCGCGGCCCAGCAACTACGACTAGTGAACTCAGGCCAACTCATGAATATTAGTGAGCTGGGGAAAGTGACCAGACAGCTGGTAGGTACAACAGTAGCTGTGGTGGAGTCACCATAGGTAAATAAATGGAAAAAATAAGTCGATAATCTATGACTTCTACCCATCTCTCAACATACACTACTTATATCCATTCGTATCAGCAGGACTCACTACGATTCTACATAAGAACATTAAAATTCGAATAAATTTAACAGTTGTGTAACGTTGTTCCAAAGGTTCGGCCTTTATTACATCAAATTTTTAACATTTAAAAGTGTATCCTCACAACTAACTAAAACTGAACCTGAAATTATCTATACTACTTATTTCAAAATGTCCTACTAAATGAATGTAATTCATATAAGGTGTTGAAAACATTTATTATTCTCAACTGGCCGAACAATTAAGAGAAAAACTAACCCTATTCTCTGGGAATACTTTGTTTTCAATAACTAGTATCCCGTTGTTGATTTGACCGGATTTATCGGTCACTATTGACACATAGTCTCCTGTGCGAATGCTTAGGTATCGCCCGTATCTTTAATTTTGATATCACTGATGGATAGTGTGTGACAATGGAATCCAGAACAAGCGTTTCGTCCTATTTGGGACTCAACGACTAGATATATCTGCCTCCGAGTGCGCAATGTTGTTTCCACTGAGACTCGACCTGAGAACCGTTCGCTTTAAACACCAGAGCGTTATCCGCTACGTTACCGAGCCATGATAGCCGCTTTTTGTGCGACAGGTATAG